CCCCCCCGCCCTACTGCTCTCTCCAATGGAAGACTGCACCTTCTTCTATTAAATAGTTATGCTCCCTTCTGACTCAGGGCCTTTGCATATGCTGTTGCCCCCCACCCCCGAAACTCTTCTCCAATCAATCCAGTTTCACCTGTTTACAGCGTCAGGGCTCAGCTCAAACTCATGCATCGCTTTCTCGACGAGGCCATGTGCCCTCCCCCCATCTGCCCAGACAAGGTCAGAGAGATCTCGGTTCCGCCCTCACAAAATTCCTGTACGTCTTCCCGGCACTCAACATAGTGGCCAGAAAAATCACAGCTAAAGTATAAAATTGCAATTATGAAACCTGCCCGTTTATTTAGGAGAATATTTTATTAATGTCTGTCTCCCCCAGTGGGCTGTAAGCTCTGTGAGGGCCTGGGCTGGCTGTTGTACCCCAATGCCCAGCACAGGACAGGTGCAGAACAGGTGCTCGGTAATGGTGTGCTGAACTAACAAAATGTGAGTAAACGAAGAACCTGGGCCAAAAAAAAAACTAGGGGTCCCGATTTCCCGGCTACAGTTTCCCCTTCAATAGGCCGGGCATGAAAGATCTCTTGGGAGCCCCATTCTCAGAGAAATCATCAACAAACCTACCCCCTGCTTAGATGGGGAGACAAGACAAATTCCCCATAGCAGTAACTGTTTTGAGTTTTAATGAGACAGGCACAGAGCACTCTTCCTCACTTCTCTATCCTGGGGTGAGGGCCTCAGATCTCAGCTTCAGGTTGGGATTACAAAGTGGGGGAGGTGGATAAATATGAATGGGACTTGGGGGCCAGGGCTGGCGGCAGAAGAGAGGGCAGAGAGTCTGCTAACCCCAGACCCTGAGCCGAGCCAGAAATCCAAATCCCTGTAGTCTCCAGGGGCCAACCTAGGGAACAGACACCATGTGTGTGGTCCTTATCTGCAAATTGGCATCATAAGGTACCCAAAGTACCTGGGAAAGACTGTAATAGGCCCTAAGTGCCTGAAGAGTGCCACTGTCAGCCTGGAGAATCAGAAGGAGACCCACATTGTATCTAGAGCTTGGACACAAAATGCCACCTTGGCTTGGAGGGTGGGGAGAATGTAACAACTTGGTCTAGAGGGTCTGGAGAAGATGCTATCTTGGGCCTGGAAAATTGGGAGGACTCCCTTGGGTCAGGAGGGGGCCTCATCTTCTGCCTGATGAAAGAAACCATGGGGGCAGGTGGCGTCTATGAAGCTAAAGATCAAGTAGCTAGTATAAGCATAATGGGAAAGGCAAAAGAAGCAAAACTAATCCTAAAAGTAGCTGGACTCAGGAAACAAGACTGGGCCCAGGGGTTGGAGCTAAGCCCAAGGACTGGAAGCTAGGAGATAGCAGAACAAGGACTAGCAGATGGAACCAGGGCCAAACCTGAGGAGCAGAAAAAGGGCCCCCAGCCTAGGGGGACAAAATTCCAGAAGTGGGGCTAGGCAGAGCCAAGGGAGTGAAGGAAGATGCTATGGAATCTGCGCCAGATTCTGGGGCTCCTATGGGAAGAAGCAAGACCAGCCCCCGTGAGCAGAAACCAAAGTCAAGACAGGCGGAGCACAAGGAAAGGTGAAGCAACGTGAGACCCCAGGATGGAGAAAGATCAAGGAGCTACTAGTTACTAGGGGCTGGAGCCAAGCCTCAGGGACAGGCTGGGAACCAGCGAGCAGGGACAGGGGCAGGGCCAGAGCGAGGAACCAGATGCTAGAGGCAGGGCCAGGCTGCACAATATTATCATCTCCACCCCCCCACCCCCCACCACGCAGCGTTATCCAGCGGGCAAGGCTCGCCCTGAGGGTGACAGCAAGATGCGCGGGGAGCTACACAGGATAACAGGGCCAGGTCCCGGAGGCCTCAAGGACTACCCCCAGGGCGCAGAGCCAGGCCAGGGAGTGGGTTCCCGCTAGGCCCGCGGTCCCGGGTCTTGCTCAGGTTCGGTCCCCGGCACGCCGCGGATGTCGGGCAGCAGGCGGCAGCCGGCCACGATGTCCAGGCGCTCGGCCAGCGCGCAGAGGTCCCCCCGCGCCAGGCGCACGCTGTGGGCCGCCGCCAACCCTGCGGCCTGGG